TGTATGCTACTGTCCATTAAGTATTATTCGTACCTAAAATTACATCTTAATTTAAATTGTATGTACACAAATGTGAGATGGAATGCCGACACTTCCGTTTTTGGGGTTAACATGAAATCCGTTGTTTATGGAGAAACTATAAACACCTGTTAAGAACTTTGGCAGCAGGTTTTAAATGCTGCAGTCATTTCGCATTAAGGATTTATACTTTACAAGACAATCTTTTAATAAACGTGTTGATAAATGTATAATAATATTTTTAAAATTGGTTTAATTGGTTTTTCATGAACAAAACTATGTGTAAACTATTTGTCAACACAAGATTGCAAATTTGAATTTAAAAAAACACAAGCAAAATTTTATGCATTTATTGTACAGTTACCATTTTTTATAAAATAGTTACAATAGTTTATAAAATAAAATATACATCTAAGTTTTTTGAACAAAGAAATCATTTTGATGGTGATTAATTAAATTAGTTAGACATAATTATTTATGAATTTCAATTTCTGTTGCTCCTGTTAAAAAGATAATTTTCTTATTTATTCTTCTTTATTTCTTCATTAAAAAAATAATTATTTTATAGCGAAATGAACATTAGGTACCACAAAAATAGTAATGTTTCCCATTTTTAAGGCAAAATTTCCAATCTTTTTTGGCGGACAAGTATATTATTGTGTTATACATTTCAATTATTAGAGAAAAAAAATCAAAACCAGATTGCTGGTTAACACAAACCATGTTGTCGTTAAGTCGACATCTTCGGGGCGTCGGACTGCAAAAACTTCTCAAGAATTTTGTCGGACAATAAGATACTTTCATTTCAAATCTTATTACCAAACCTTCCCAGAAAAATCAGCTTGCTGGTTGTCACCAACCATAATGTCACCAAATCGACATATTTGGGGTGTGGGACAAACTCAAAATACCAACATTATTGTTGGACAAATTTTTTGGGGATTTCAAAAATATATATCTTTCATTTAAACTTAAAAAAAAAGTGCTGGTCATAACATTTTATGTTTATGCCAGATTGACATGTTTTCCTGAAAATCACGGGAAAACTTACCACTGTTGAATTTTCCTCGTAGTCACATGTTTATGCCAGATTGACATGTTTTCCTGAAAATCACGGGAAAACTTACCACTGTTGAATTTTCCTCGTAGTCAAATCTTGGGAGACTCGTCAAACTTAAGCTGCACGCAAAGTTACAGCTTGCTGGTAATCATTTTTTTCTTTGTACGTGGGCCCGTGGACTATTAGGATTCAGACACAATATTTAACAGGACTTTTTGTAAATTCTAATACGAGTCTGACCCAGAACATTTAATTAATCTCGTCATGAGTCCATGCATGCATGTAGACATCGCTTTCGAGTATAAGAGTGTCAATCACTGTTAGGTGTAGAAATGTAAACCTTTGTTCTATTCCGATTTCATTTGAATATTTAATAATTCGCTCTATTCTTCGTGTCTGGATTTCAAGGACTATCCACGTGAAATCTTGACCTTTTCCCGAAATACATTAACAACACACGGTGGAAAAAATTGCTCGAAGGCTATTCTTGTCGTCAATTCAACTGCCAAGGTCAACGGTTACGTGCAGAAGAAAATTACTTTTTTAAACAATCCACGGATGATTTAAAAACGTGCGCGAACAATATACATTATTTAAAGTAGGTTTTTTAGGGTTATTCGGAATTTTCTTTTGCTATCACGCGAAAGTTGCATTGATTGTATTGTTGGTATATTCATAATTGACCACAGCTCATATTTGAAATGGAAATGACTCAAAATAAATTTCTAATAGCTGTTTAACATTGACAATTTATTGATGAATAAATTGACGAAGTTCTTCATGAATTAATTCACGAATTTATTGGTAAACAGTGTGGTTTTACACTGCTAGTTACAGACTTTATCAAGTTTTTTTACGCATTCTACCAATGAATCAAAGAAGCAAATAAATTTCAAAAATGTTACCTTTCCACTCATAATTGTAGTGATACAACAGCGGTACCGTTTTGACACATATTATATAAATATTAGTGTTTGTAAGTAACAAATCAGTAAAAACAATGCAAAACTAGTACGACGCCACACAATTATTTACATATTCCAATAGCATAACCTCATTACCGAACTGAGGCTGGAAATCTGTTGCGTTGGTACTTCTGAACTTCACGAAGAAATTGACAAAAATTATAACATGCTCTATTCTACCAATGAATCAAAGAAGCAAATCAATTTCAAAAATGTCAAATTTCCACTCATAATTGTAGTGATACAACAGCGGTACCGTTCTGACACATATTATATAAACATTAGTTTTTGTAAGTAACAAATCAGTAAAAACAATGCAAAACTAGTACGACGCCACACAATTATTTACATATTCCAATAACATAACCTCATTACTGATCTGAGGCTGGAATTCTGTTGGGTTGGTACTTCCGAACTTCACGAAAAAATTACTGAAAATTAGAACATGCTCTAATTCGTCAAGAACTTGATGAATAAATTCATGAAGTTATTTGACAGCAGATTAAGTGCATTACACTTGTCCAATTTCTTGATGCAGCGACTTCATGAATTAATTGAACAATAAATTGTCAATGTAAAACAGCTATAAGATATTTACAATTTGTCTGCTAACTTCAATCTTTTAATTTTTAACACAAAACGTTCTTATCAAGTCCAAGTTAATCCCTTAATACAGACCCTTCATAAATGTTTACAAGCCACTTGAACGACGAGCTTAGGCAACCTAATATTGCATACTGGTACTGGCAAAGAAAAATTCGTAAATCTTGGCGTCACCAATATTAATGATTCGTTTACAATGAACAATGACAAACCGTTACTTCTACGCACGAGATAATGCGATCGCTGATTGGTTGAATAATATCTACACTAATCACAGTCGATGAAAAAGAATATTGCGTTTCAATGTAATCTTGATCTTAATATTTTAATTTTACGGAAATTTAATAGCCAACGTGAAGAAAATAAAATTACTGTTCCAAACAAAATTACTGGTCACGTGGCTTGTAATCACATATGAAGTTTCTGTAGTATGAGAACTATCTGTAGATGACTTCTAATTAGTAGAAAGTATTTTATTCTTACTGGTAAGTAGGTACTACGAGTACGACTTGTTTATTAAGTTTAGTTTATACAAAATTGTATCTCATACCCTTGTTTATTAACACTAATTTAGCGCACTCGAAAACTTACCCGTAGCAAATTTTAATATATTACATGTTTTTTAAATACATATAATAATATAACAATAATATAATATATAATATAAAAATAATATAAAATTATTACTATTATTGAGGAGCAACATGTTTTTTTCCAAGGCAGGTCGGTTACTACTAATCTTGTATCATATGATGTATACAAAATAATTGAAATTCTGGAAACCCAAAATCAAGTAGATGCCGTGTATACCGATTTCTCCAAGACCTTTGATAAAGTACACCATCCTACATTGTTCGTGAAGTTGGAGAATATCGGTATACATGGGAATCTATTAGGATAAAATCCTATTTAACTAATAGGTGCCAATGTGTGTCAATCAATAACTCTTACGTCAAATTTTGTTCACGTTACGTCAGGTATACCGCAAGGCTCTCATTTAGGGCCATTGCTCTTTTCTTTGTTTATTAATGATATTGGCTCCTGTTTCCGCCACTGAGTATGCACTTTATGTCGACGATCTGAAAATATTCTCAAGAATTTCATATATTGCTGATTTTCTGAATATTCAATCTATTCTCGATCGTTTCGACAATTATTGTAACTTTAACAAATTCTTCTTGAATATTAATAAATGTCAATTCATTAAATTCACGCGTCTAAAAAATATTACTGATATTAATTATAAAATAAACAATACTTTGCTACAAAAAGTGGATTCCATTAGGGATCTGGGTGTCACTGGATTCTAAACTTCGAGATTCATGTTGAATATGTTGGGTTCTGCGTAATCTTGGATTTATTTTACGTGTAACTAAATATTTTCGTGATCCCAGGTCCTTCATCTTATTATATAATTCCATGGTCCGATCTCATCCTGAGTTTGCACCTTTAGTGTGGAATCCTCAATATCTTAAATATATCGAACGTTTAGAAAAAGTCCAACAAAAGTTTATTATAACTTAAACTATGGATTTAATAGGCACTTGCTATCACTAGGCTATGATTCGAATTTACAGCACTATAAACTGTTAAAATTATTCTCCAGGAGACATATCGCTTATGTTCTTTTTTGTATAAATTATTTATCGGGAAAATTCACTACAGCCACATTTCGAGTTCACTATCATTTGATATTAAACAATATATTTCGCGCTCCTCAAATTTATTTTATCACTCTGCGTATGCCTCCAATGCTGCAAATAACTCCCCAGTTAGTATGTTGCAAAAATCTTACAATTTGTTTTTTAATCATATCGACATTTTCAGCCTCTCTTTCAACTCGGTTGGTTTTTAATTGAATGGTTTTTCTCTTCTCTTTTTTCTTGTTGTGCTTTATTTTTTCTTTGTTTTTCTTTCTTTTTTTTTTCTTTCTTTTTTTTTTCTTTTACCCTTAACCATATTATGTTAAAACTAGGTAATTACTTGTTAATTGATTGTTTATTTATTGTATTACTATGTAGGTATATTGTAACTTGTTATTCTTATTTAATTTTAGTTTTGTACACGCACTGCTATTTTCTATAGTGCACCCTGTAACTTGTATTGTTTATCAATATGTTGGGTTGTCAAATCTGTAAATAAATAAATAAATAAATAAAATGAAAAAAATCATCTTTGACACCCTGTATCCCAAAAACAAAAGACGATATGCGCGTAGCTCATAGGAATAAATTTCCTTATTTTCTATCCACTTCTGTCATTATTGCACCTTTTTCCTACATTTTAAGGAACACAATCATATGCAACTAATTTGAAAAAACTATAATTTTAATTAAATTAAATTTAATTTCTAGATTCTCCTCGATGCTGGCGCACAGGTGAATCCTGTTCTTAGAACTTCCAGGAACGTCTTTATGACTCCCCTGGATTGTGCGCTGCAGAGAGGTTTCAGATCCACAGCGAAATATTTACAACTACATGGAGGGGTGCCGGCTAGTAGGCTAGCAGAATTGCGGAATCAACCAACTAGTGCCTTGAATTTGCACATAAGAGACGACGTAACCGTTCTTGGAGATACAAGTTCGGAGAGTGAAAAAGAACAAGGAGACCCGATTAAAAGTAGCAAGAAATCTTATAGAAAAAAAATAGTTCATAAATTAGAAAGGCCCAAGCTTTCTTTATCAGGAAGCGAAGAAGAAATTGAGAGATTAGGAAGTAGCAAACTTGAAAGCACAGGAAAGTCCAAAAAGAGATCAACTGATAGAAATAAAGAAAATAAATCTAGTGCTAAAGCTGACAGTTCAACTCCTCCTATGTCATCAACCAAACGAAGCAGCAGCAGAAAATTACCATCCAGTAGAATGGAATATACCAATGAGATTATTATCAACGGAAAAACTGAGATAAACATTCATCAAACTAGAGAAATCATTCTTGAAAAAGAACCTGTAGTTGTTGATAAGATTTCCGAAGTAGTTATTCCATCTGAAACAGCTGTTCCGCATTCTGCTTCATCGGTAAAAGATCGAAGGCCCAGAAGTGCAAAATTTAGTAAAGGAAGAGACCGGTCAGGACGAGCCAGCTCAGAAAAAGAAGCAGCGAGAGCACGAAATGCAATAACTAGTCCAACAACCATAATACAGCAAGAAAAGGAATCAAGGCAACCTTCTTTAAAAACGCAAAGTACCAATACCTCCGAAGAAACAACTGAAACTGTAATTGAAAATAAAAAAATTGAACCCTCTACGGCAACCACAGAAGATGGATTTCTCAAAAACTTTCCAGATTCGAGAAAGATCATAGATCAACAGTCTCTCATGTCCAATACTAGCGAAGATGTAGAGGATCATAAAGAATTTGTAGTAGAAGCTTCGATTCATGAACCGCCGAAAGTACTTTTAGAGAAGGAACATGAAGATGAGCAAGAGTTAAAGTCGAAAGACTCTGAAATTATTACAGAAGGAAAACAAGATGAGAAACCTCTTACAGGGGAAAATATTCAAAATGATGATTTAGCAGAAGAGCAGGAACATCAAAAGGCAACTAAAGTCGATGAGACAAATGCAAAATTAACTACCAATGACACTGAGAAAACAGACGATAAGGAAGTGGAAGATCAAAAAACAAAAGAAACAAGCACCGTTCTAGCTAAAGAAGAAATAACAGATGATGATAAACATATTCAACGTCAACTAACAGAATCTCCAGGAGCAAACACATCAGAAAATATAATTAATGAAGCCGAAGCTGAAATAGATAATGCTTCAGACACAAAAAAAGATGATGATAAGACAGAAGTTAAAGATGTCACTGAGTTACAAACAAATGGTGAAGCTATAACAACAAAAGAAATTGAAAATACAGAAGTTCAAGAACCCGTACACGAAAAACAATCTGTTGAAGAACTACAAGAAACACGTCGGAATAATACAGAAACTGAAGAAGCAAACAATGAATTAGATAAAGACAATAGTAAAGTAGCAGTTGACCTGGAAGCAAATAAAAAGAATGATCAGTTGCTTGATAAGTTTATTTCGGAGCCAGAGGCTGACCAGGCTGAGCATAAAGCCAGCAGAAGTACCGATGAAAGTTCAAATTTGCCGGAAGATGGAGAAAGTAAAGATGCTGAAGAAATCCACGAAAATACTGATACACCTGAAAAAACCCACAAAGATGCTGGTGCAACTAAGGACGTCCATCAAAATGATACAACAGTAAACGAGCAAGGTGAAAAAACATTAGAAGTAGAAGATGGAGAAGAGAAGAAAGTGGAAATAACCTCAAAGTCGATTGATGTAAATGAAAATGATATATATGATATTTCAAAAACTGAAATGCCATCAAAGATCGACTTTGATGAACAACCACTGGAAACTGTTCCTACAGAAAAATTTGAACAATCAATTGCCGATAAAGAAAAACCAAGTGAAGGAGAAATAACAAAAAAGCGAGACAGTAAACAAAAAGAAACACGAAAAAAACAAGGGATTGAAGCATCTGATGGGAAAACTAAACCAAAAGATGCCGACGTAAGAAAGAAACATTTAAAAATAGAAAAATCAAATAAAAAAATAAAAGCAAAGCAAGATTATTCAGATGATGACTATAGCAGTCGATCTGAAGATGTTTCTTTGTCTACACCTACTAGTAAGACCCATAAAAGCTTCAGGATACTAGACGAAGAAGACGGAGGAAAACCGAGTAAGACGAGAGGAGGCAAAAGCAAAAGAAGCGAAAACAAAGAATCTCGATCACGATCCGAAGAAAAAAAGAAAAAAGACGGTAGTAAGGAAAGAGAAAAATTTAAACATAGTAAAATTCCAACGCCCTTGGGTAAAACTATTTTATCTAAAAGCGACAGACACTTAGATAAGTCTCACTTATTAGAAAAGAGAGCTCTGCAGGGGGTACTAGACGCACGCATTCCATCTTTGCCGAATATCCATCAAGACAAAGATCGACTGAAAGAACCGCCACGATCTGAATCTAACATGTCGGCTCCGCTCCTGGCCTCTCTTTATAGTGACAACGAGAGTTTGTCGGATGTGGAGCACGAGTCAAGAAGTTTGGTAGCGCGGAACAAGAAGAGAGTCAAGAAGAGGCCCAAAGTTAGGGATGCCAGAAGTGCAGGAAGTGATTATGAAAGCAGTAATTTGATAGATTCTGGATTCGAGCCCAGCCCGAGAAGCACCAGAATTCCTAAATGGAAGAATATGTCTGAGCGGGGTGTTAACATGACATCAGTTACACAAAATATACAAAGCAATATAAGAAGGTAGGTAATTTGACCACGTACGAAGAAGAATATATAAACGTGAATAATAAGATCGATGATTTTAGGTACCATTTGGAAAGAAAAATATTTCAGCACCTCCTGGAACTAAAGAGGCATCAAATTAGAGCTGGTCAACATAACGAGGCAGTTCTAGTCAAAAGAGCTATTGACGCGTACCATCAGTCATGCGCTTCCACTGTTGGGGCTGGTCGATACATTCCAGAAGATTACACTTTCAAAAGCTTTGAAAGATTTCTCTATGAATCTTTGAGAAAGCTACAGAAGAACGATGTGGAATATATGAAAGGACTCCCAGAAGCACCCTCTAACCCACTTTTATGTACAAGAAGCACCAATAGATGTATGCATGCTACGCATGCTTATACTGGGGTTCCATGTGCAGCATACCGTAAGTATAACTGCATTGCATTTTCAAGGACCAGTGAACAAAAATTTAGTACAAAATCAGTGTTATTAAATAGTCTATTTTGAGGTATTTAATTTAAAAACTCCACGCACGTAACTAAAGAAACATTACAAATTATAGGTTCAAAGAAAAATGTTATAGCAACTCCAAATAACAAGAAATCTTAGGAACACTTTGATTTATTGTATATTTTTTTGTTTTGCCTTTTAGTTATTTCAGTCACTAATTTTATTTATCAATGCTAATAAATATGAGACATTTCATCTTCAAAAACTTGCAGTTTAGGTTCCGGGTTCTTGCGATCAAGGTATTCAGGTTTCATGGTTAGTAGCCACCAAAAATGACGACCATAAGTCTCCAATAGATCCGATATTTTTTTGGGTATTATAAATTTACTAACCTATGTACGTAGGTTTTAGATCCAGGGTTCAATATTAGCTAATAATTATGGAACGCCGGTATGTTTTTTGACTATTTCTAAACGAATGAGAATCTTACTTTGCTAAATATACTATACAGGGTGTTAATTAAGTATGTACAATAAATTCAACAGACGATTATTTGAGTGATTTTAAGATAAAAGTTCATGTAAACATTGGTCCGCAGATGCTTCGTTTTCTAGATACAGGGTGTTAAACTTTTTAAAAAAAATTGCTATTTCATAAATGTCTTAAATACCCTTTACCCAATTTTGTTGTAATTTGGCAGTGTTATTTGTACTTTATGTTATTTAGATGTTATTATTAAAAAATTATAAAAAAATTATAATTTCCAAAAGAAACTTTTCCCCTTGTTTCTTTTGTGGTCCAGGGATATGCAATTAAGTGTATTTTATTCTTTTTCTACAAAAATTAATCAAGATACGAAAAACATTCAAGAGACAAAAAAGTTGTATTTTTAGTTGTTTAATTAAAAAAATATATAAAAATTACTAAAAGTCAGTGGCGTACATTTTTTTTGTCAAAAATATTCGTTAAAGTACCGCTCGGGACGGCACTGGATTTAATAAATATAATCAAGTTAGGGTTAAATTAGCCCCTTAACACTACAAATAACACTGCCAAATTACAACAAAATTGGATAAAGGGTATTCAAGATATTTACGAAATAGCAATTTTTTTTTACAAAAGTTTATCACCCTCTATCTTCAAAATGAAGCATCTGCGGACTAATGTTTATATAAACTTTTTGTTTTAAAATCACTCAAATAATCGTCTGTTGAATTTATTGTACATACTTCCTAAAATTCAGTGATTTTTCACTCCGCTTTCGCCATACATGGCCGCCGGCCGTATTGAATTTCCAAAATACGCCACTACGTATTAGAAAGTGTATGTATTAAGATAATTTTGAGCCATCAAACGTCTTTTAAGTTGCTTCAATTTTTAAATAGAAAAGTGATGAATGGACGTGGAGCAAAATCCATGTTATGGCGCCCAACGTGGGGCTGACATGGGATACACCGTCGACCTAAAAAAATTTTAGGTTATGTTGTAGGCATCACAAATAACAATTTTGTTATACACAATCCAAACAAAATCATCGAGGGCGGAAAGTATTTTATTTTTCGCTTCTTAAACGTAACGTAACCTCAGTATCTCATCAAAAAGAATATCACGGATGTCACCTCGCTATAACACGTGACAGGACAAAAATATCCGTTCGTTTTGACACGGGGAGTGTGCATGGGCGTAGGTAGGATTTTTGTTTGGGGTCTACTGGTCAGTCGGCTAGTCCGACCATATGGACATTGGGTTCACTAGGAGGGCTGAATCCACCCCTGCCCCCCCACCTACGCGCCTGGAGTGTGTGGCAATTATAGTCTGTTTAGAAATGAAAGAGAGTAATAAAAGCTTATTATGTATGCAAATCGTAAATAAATGTAGTACTGGTGCTTATATTCAATATTTTTATATTATGTATTTTCNTATTATTAAAAAATTATAAAAAAATTATAATTTCCAAAAGAAACTTTTCCCCTTGTTTCTTTTGTGGTCCAGGGATATGCAATTAAGTGTATTTTATTCTTTTTCTACAAAAATTAATCAAGATACGAAAAACATTCAAGAGACAAAAAAGTTGTATTTTTAGTTGTTTAATTAAAAAAATATATAAAAATTACTAAAAGTCAGTGGCGTACATTTTTTTTGTCAAAAATATTCGTTAAAGTACCGCTCGGGACGGCACTGGATTTAATAAATATAATCAAGTTAGGGTTAAATTAGCCCCTTAACACTACAAATAACACTGCCAAATTACAACAAAATTGGATAAAGGGTATTCAAGATATTTACGAAATAGCAATTTTTTTAGAAAAGTTTATCATCCTGTATCTTCAAAATGAAGCGTCTGCGGACCAATGTTTATATAAACTTTTTGTTTTAAAATCACTCAAATAATCGTCTGTTGAATTTATTGTACATACTTCCTAAAATTCAGTGATTTTTCACTCCGCTTTAGCCATACATGGCCGCCGGCCGTATTGAATTTCCAATATGTGCCACTACGTATTAGAAAGTGTAAGATAATTTTGAGCCATCAAACGTCTCTTAAGTTGCTTCAATTTTTAAATAGAAAAGTGATGAATGGACGTGGAGCAAAATCCATGTTATGGCGCCCAACGTGGGGCTGACATGGGATACACCGTCGACCTAAAAAAATTTGAGGTTATGTTGTAGGCATCACAAATAACAATTTTGTCATACACAATCCAAACAAAATCATCGAGGGCGGAAAGTATTTTATTTTTCGCTTCTTAAACGTAACGTAACCTCAGTATCTCATCAAAAAGAATATCACGGATGTCACCTCGCTATAACACGTGACAGGACAAAAATATCCGTTCGTTTTGACACGGGGAGTGTGCATGGGCGTAGGAAGGATTTTTGTTTGGGGTCAACTGGTCAGTCGGCTAGTCCGACCATATAGACATTGGGTTCTCTAGGAGGGCTGAGTCCACCCCTGCCCCCCCCCACCTACGTGCCTGGAGTGTGTGGCAATTAGCAACTAAAATCTTTTCGCCCTGGTATGACATACGTCATACTATGCAAAACGAAAACAGTTCACGTGCTTCCCTGATTCTATCTATATTTGTGAATTGATTTACTTGAAAAGTTTAAAATTAGTTTTATTTCTAGAAAGAAAAATTTTGATTTTTGGCCGTTTATTTCCGACATAAAAATGTGTTTTAATTCTGAAAATTTTTAGATTCTTAATACGAGATTTGCAAGTCTAGTTTGTAGCCAAAAATCAGTAGCGTACGCCATATTTTTCTTTGAGTTCAGTTCTTCAGATACAACCCAAACTTTTTTAAAGGGGACATCAAATATAATTTTTCAATTATTGAAATTTGATTAAAATTTCAGATCAAATAATGTATCTTGTGACATTTATGCAAAATATTTTTTAAGGGATCAAAAGATTTCAAAAAACGGAAAATATATGGGGTGTCCCATTAAAAAAACCTAAAATAAATTTCGAAGTTTGTATTATAACTAAAGAACCGAAAATTATACAGAAATACCGTGCGAGGTACTTGATTCTCCGGAAAAAACAAGAAATAGGAATGTTTCTATATTGAGTTGTCGTTTTCAAAAGAAACTTATCGAAGCTTTCAAAATTAAAAAAAAAACACTTATTTCCATTGACCATAAGTACTTTATGAATATCAAATATGCTGTAAGTATATTTTTATAATAAAACCTAAAATATGGGCAAATAACCATAACTGGTTTTGAGTCTTTATTATGTTTTTCCAAGTACTGGATTGTGTAAAAATACAATCATGTACATGTAGATCCAAAGAGATTTTAATTTTCGATTTCAAATTTTTGGAAAACACGATATTTGGAACAGAAATTATGCACAAATTCACCTTTACATAAATAATAATAATTTCCACTTAGTAATTTAAAATTTTTCATATTGTTTAGAAATAACTTTACTTTTTGAAAAATAAATAATTTAGGGCTACTTTACGTATGTAGGTACATAATAATAAAAGCTAAATACACTATGAACTTACTTACTAATGAAATGTTAAAAGGTCAGTGGTCATTGCTGGTTGATATTTGGCGGCAAATTTAAAACCTTAATTTAACTCGGAAAACTTTCCCTTTAAGTTCCCCGAGAAAAAACTTTAAAATTATATGGAATTTCTTATGACCAAAAACTGAATAAAAAAATATTTTTAAATAGGTATTCAAAAACTTCCAAATAAAACATTGATTCAGCATGACAAAAAACGCCCTAAATGAACACAATTCTGTAATAATATTCAATTTGTGCTGTATAATTTTTCTCGAAAATCAAATTCATATATCGTCTACCTCTTCAAGGAGTACAACCGAAACCCCTAAAAATAGGGTTCAAATTGCTGTTTCTCTTTTTGTTAATATATATTACCACTTTCGTCGTGTGTCGATCTTTAAAGTCATCATCATTAAATTTAGATTTTATGTATCTTTTCAGTACCAAAAATGGATCATCATACTATACCAAAAATAGGATTTAACAATGTCAGTTGCAAACCTGGAACTGGATTTTTACCAAATATCAATTCTAAAAAGGCTGTGACACTGGAACTTAGTCACGGAACCGACAAGCAGGTTATTTCCCTGCCTACCGATCGTCTTGACCAAAATAAGAGGTACTATGTTACCTTTACAGTTAAAGGACACGATCCATCTTCATCTAACGGGGAAGATGGACCAACAAACAATGCCCATATGCATTCAAAGAGCGACTAAACATTTTTAGTTGGCGGTACTTTGGACCAAACTAAGACCAATTAAATCATTGTACGGTACACATCATCCTACTAATTTTTTAATGCTGCCATGAGAAAATGTACAGAAATTTGTAAAGTGCAAATTATAATTTTGAGAATGTTAATAAATGCATGACTGTAAAATTATTATATTTGAAATATTTGAATATTGTTCATAATATATGTGTAAATCATTATAATAGTATAATCTTTCATTCTTGTGCATTATACAGGGTGACCTCAGATTAGACTACATATTTTACCAGTACACTCCATGATTAAAATGTTTATATAGACAAAGAGCAAATGCCTCCTTAGGTGTACAGTCCCACTGAAAGTTGATTTCTGCCAGATATCAAAATCGTTCGAAATAAAAAAATAAAATTTGCAGCAATTATATTGCAAATTTAATAGCTAATAGTTATTTTTGTATCTAGTGCGCGAAATGCTACTTTGGTGATCGAGAATTGAATTTTTTAACGAGGCGAAGCCGAGTTAAAAAATTATTCGAGACCACCAAAGTAGTTCGCGCACGAGATGCAAACAATATTTTTTCTACAAACGTCAAAATCTATCTCTTAAAAATATTATAAATAAGTAAAATGCCTAATTTATTATAGAAAATAGTGTTTAGCTGGCTTAAAATGTCTTTCCTAATCAAATTTTCACTGTTACTATGGAAACAAAGTGGCTGTTGTTGACAACAATAATAATTATTTTAAAGTGACGTTTGTGCTCGCGTCTTCAATTTTTAAGTGCCAGATATTATTAAAAGTATTTCATTGTTATTCATTTAAAAATAAATAATAATTTGGAGTTTTGCCTCATTTTTTCAAAGATTGAAATACAAAACTCTTATTAATTTACATGCAGTGCGAAATACTTCGCACCCTAGTGCGCGAAGTATTTCGCGCACGGTGTCATGGTAACGTAAGAATCCGAAAAAAAGTGTCACTTCGCATATTGTTGTCAATGCGCAAACCTTGTCATTTTTTGACGTTTGTAGGAAAAATATAATTTCTATATTTCAGTCAGAGGTGTCCCATACTGGGGAGTTGTGTATAAATATTGCTCCAACTATGTGTACATTTCAAGTGTTAAGTAAAGCTAAAAATTGGAGCTATTATGCACTTTACAGTAAAAAGAGATTAATGTACCTATCATTTTAATAGGTTTCCCCAATTTGAAGTAAAATTAATTTAAAAATTGTGTTACATGCTGAAAATATGTGAAACATAATTTTTGAACTTTGTTTAACAAGACTAAAAACTTTCAAAACTGATTGTTAAAAATAATTATTTGTAGTATAAAAGTTTAACAATTTTCAAAGAGTGAGTTCCTAGGAAAATGGTTTGACAAAAGTTATTTGGAATTGTAATACTTTCATTTGCTATAATGGCACTAACACTGTAATTTATTTTATTCAATTTTATCAAATTGAAAATTTGAACAAAATATGTAAATAATGGGCAGTCCTACTTTTTTTTTATTTTATTATGAATTTAAATGGTGTACAATATAGAATATTTTTGTGTCAGGTAACATAATTTTTAAAGCAACTTTTTTCCAAGCAGTGGAACATCGATGTAATATTTGTTGCTGTAAAATTTTAAAATTTTTTAAAGAAACTGTGAGAAAGTTTATATAACGAGCAAATATTTGCTCCCCTCTTCACCTCTCTTTGGGATATTTCACCCCGACTTAAATTTAGAGATGATTTTTTGACTATTAAATTCAAAATCGAATCATATGTAACATCCAGTTCCTAATTTAATTGTTTTTTTTTAATGGGTTCACAGCAGAAGAATCATTCTTTTTCTTACAAAAAAAAAATGGAAAAAATAGAAAAATTTAACTTTTGTTAAAATCTAGGATCTAAAATCTATAAATTGTTACAGCCACCATACTATTGCCCAAATTTTTTATATCTCACATAAAAATTTAACAATTAATTTAGAAGATTGTCCTAAATGGAATATGGACATTTGTTTACAGATTTAGAAAAAAATTTCCTCTAAATAATAATTTTTACTTGTCTTGAATACGGGCATCTAGACAAATATACAAGATTTTTATTTTAGGATGCAATTTTTGGCTAAATTCTAATGGTATTAATTTATTTTAACTAAATTTAGATTTCTGTATTGAAACAAATTAAATTAACATTTAAAAAATCCTTTACCTATTAAGAACTATTAAAATTTAGAAAAACTTAATTTTCAGTACAAATAAATTTATAATCTGATACTACTACACTATACTCAATTTTCTTTCAATATTAAATATTTAGTTTAAATACAGTTAAAATTAATTAATATTAAAATATGTCCAGTTATAATTTTTGAAATTCTGAATAATATTCAATTTCCATAATTTGAAATTATAGCATTATGACAGCCTAACACAAACAAATTCCCTAGTATTTCCTAATCTATAGAACTGCTAAATCAGAAATCGGAAGCATCATACATGGAATATAATCTTCCTTTACATGAACTTGCAAACTGTTTTTTTTTATTTAGTTAAAAAATACTTTAAATGTTTTTTAAATATCAAAAACTGAAATTTGGTTTCATTTCATTGCTTATTCATGAAAAATTAAAATTTTGTTTCTTTTTATTGTCATTTTAAATATTATATTTACCTTTTGTTAATTGAACTCTACTAATGTAATTTGCGGGTATCCCGATCTTCAATATATAAACTTTGTTAAAATATTATTTTCATACTCACTGGGGTTTATTCCAATAAAATATACCTGGAAAAATATTGTACTTAATATGTATTTTTTATAGTGTTTTTATTTCGAGTTCCTTCAATTGTTCTTTTTTCCAGTGATTTACTTCAAAAAAAGCTTTTTCAAATTTTTCTTTCTTAACTATTAAACATTAATTTCGGAAATACTAAGAAAAAAACTTTCAGGGTTTTGTCTTTAAAGGACTGTGGTCCTTGGAAGACATTTTCCCCGTCTATGTTCATATACATTATGCTTACATTATTTATAGTTGTATACTTAATGCACTGGGAACATTACAGGCTAAGTTCAGGTTATCTTGTACATATTTTTTGTAAATGTAATAAGTATCTAGTGCAAATATTTATATCGATGTTAATGTACAGTATAAATTTTATTAAATTATTTCTAATTAAACATTTTTTATTCTTATACATCTTATTCAGCTACTAGGAAAATGGATCTAATGAGTAGGTATATTTTACTGATCCCTATTCTGCCACTTTCTTATTGTTGCTTATGTAAAATATTAACTATACATTATTCTCCACGAATTAATATAGATGAAAATTTTTATTTAAATACTGCATAGCTGTCAATACCAGTAATGGCTGGCGAAAATTGAGGTGGTCATATTGTGATAACAAAGCATGGTATTTATTAGGTCCACAGACAACTCCTATGACGAAAAAATTTTGAACGAAATATGCCAAAAAATTAAAAAAAGGTAGCCTCCCGTTAGATTTTGAAAAGCGTTGCGCACATATGTGCAAAAAATATATTTTTTTCATAATCAAACAGGTATTTTCTTATTTTTCTCAATCTAAATAAGCTACAGTTATGAAATTTAAAAAATGAAATGTTAGTATAAGTCAAAATTTAAATACCTAGGTTTAACTACAAATAAATTTTAATTTTGTGATAAATAAAAAAATACTGTATTGTATGTTTCAGTTAATAGAACAGTTAATTATGAAAATATTTTTTGTATATTTGTAACCCTTTTCGAGATCTCAGGGAGGCTATACCCTATTAAAAAATATACATTTTATTATTAACTGCGGTATTTTTACTTGATTTTTTAGCTAATGCAAATAAATTCAAATTTTTTGTTTTAAATATCCTATCAAATGACATTGTTTAACTTCATTTGATTTTTAGACATTATTTTTTATTTATTTGAATTAACTTATTAATATTTAAAATAAATTAATAAAATGAATGCTACACTTACTTATTTAAATTTTTTATTTAACAAATTTATTCATTAATTCCAATAACATAATAAATTTTAATCAATACGATCTAATCTGATCCGATACCTAACTAAAAGTGGAATTTTAGACTTTTTATTAATAAATGTATTTATAAACAAATATATTATATTTCTATCTTCCATATTGCAATTATTTATTAGTTTTTATATATTTTTGAATATAAAACCATATCTTAATGAAACTCAATAAGCCGAGCAATTGCAATATATAATCTGCAAACTTCACATTATGAATCGAGCAGTCTGCACATTTAAATATCTAGATTTTGTTTTATAAAATGATATATCTTCAAATCGCTAAGCAACAATATTTACTTAGTAGGATGCTGTGATTTCTGGCCAAATGGAAATTAAAGAAAACACAAAATTTTCCAAATGTTGATATTTCAAGTTTTTATCGAGACATTTTTTATGACTTCAATAAAACTAAAAAAATTACAAATGTTATGCAGAAAATACGAAAAAGTTTATTTAAAAATCACTGATATTTATAATGAAATAATTAAAAAAAGAGGAACAAATAGACATTAGTAAAAAAGTGATTAATTAAGATTATTAATAAACTACTAACAAAAACCAAACTTTTTTTACTAGATTAAATATTTCCTTACCTACACAGCAATCTTTTGTTGACATTTTTTCTGATGTGAGGGGTGGTACTCAATATTATAAATGAACAATTATATTTCTCCATACTGATTGATGTATAACTGTACAAATATATATTTTTATCTTACTTTAAAGAATAATTTGTATCAATTGTGATTAATTTAATAGTATTCACTTTAAATAAGTTAAAAATTTTATCTTCTTTTATTTGATTATACATATATAATTAATATCAGTGTTTCTTATATAATTATTCTTTTTTGTTTTTACTTGAATCCTGAAGAAGTCATAATATAGAGATGAAATGTTGCCATTCAGAATATTTTGTTTTGTTTAATTCCCATTTGGACAGAAAACCCACCTAACCACGTATATTAATTTTGCTACCAATTCTATATTGCTACCAATATTTATATACAATTATTATTTTGGATCACTATATAAAATGTTAAGTTAATTAATAAATAAAGTAGATAAGGCCTCGCGTAAATTCTATAAGATAAATATTTCAAATTATACTGATACTGGTATTATACAATATTGGTATTAAAATTAAAAATTAATCTTGATGTGGAGAGTAAAATTTAGTAGATAAAATTGGTGAAATTGGATTACTTCCAAACCTCTCCGAAAATGAATCTTTATGAGCCTTAGACCTGGTCTCTATAACTTTATCATAAAATCTAGACAACTTTACTGCATTGGAAGTACCAGCTGCTAAATATCTTGTTTGTCTACAATCTAGAACTATTTCATCAGCTGTTAAGTGAGAAGCCATTTGTCCCAGATGTGATTTCTTATCATCAATTTGGTCCAATTTAGTTCCGATTACTAAAAATGGTACTGTTGGATGACCAAATAAACTTTCTTGATCCCAGTCCTCATTTAATTGGTTCTGATTAGGATTAGTCACATTCAAATGAGAATTTGAATCTTTTCGTTCCCTTTTATTAACAATTTCTTTTACCCATTTGTGTAAGTTTTCCTCCGACTTTCTATTTGTTAAATCGTGGACTAGTATAGCACCATGACAAGGATGGTAAAAGACGGGTCTCGCATTTCTATGGATATGACTTCCTCCAACGTCCCAAAACTCAATAAAAAATGTTTTTTGTTCTTTCGTTCCCTCTTTATACTCATGCAATTTTACTTCTACAGAGCAACCTACAGTCCAACTAGGTGATTTTAAAGGATCATTATGTGCAGCTAGATGTACAAAAGAGGTTTTTCCAACCCCTGAATCTCCGAGAATAAGAATTTTTACACGGTCTATTGCTGACATTGTAACAATAACACAAACACAAACAACGTAAGAAAAAGTAAGGTTAAATTACAGAAGACAGAAACACGACACGTAGATAAAATGGTAGATAGTTCAAATGGTACAGTATTCTATGTAAACTATTTTAACTTTAGATTATATCTTTCTGATTAACTTATTTTTCTACTTACCCAATGCTAATAATTTTCAGATGCAAGCGCCGGTATCTATCTATGAATAACGAACAATTTTTTTTAAATCTGATAGTAGTTCCAATTTTGGAGCGTATGCACTCCATAGTTCCAATGTTCTAATTAAGATTTGAGATTTGACACCAGTTTGACACATATATTTTGTGTTTGACACTTTGACAGCAAATTAAAGACGTTGAACAGTCTCCATGATAGTGATTAGTCTACCTGAATACTAAGTGATGTTAATAAATGTACAATGCACAATAATCATAATCAATGAACATATGAACACAATGGAGTCCATGCGTATATGTACTTGAAGCATATTATAAGTTGTTCTAGGGTGATGAATAAAATTAAATATTTTACCAATCTGTGGTGATGAGTGATAACATAAATTAAAGAAGTATAGGTGTTGAATAAGGCTTTTTTTTAGGGTTACGTAGAGTTGTTTTCCATCATAGTATAAAATTTATCCGTTTTGCACCATGTTTGTAGCACAATATTAGAAAAATGGAAAATGAAAACAGAAAAGCTTGTTTATCTTGCAAAATAATATCAGTGTGCTGTTTATGTGGAATTGGAGGATATTTGATAAACGCTTCTAAAACATATAAAAATCCCTCAAAAATGTCATTAATAATCATAGGAATTGGTTAGTTCTTATTATTGAGGAATTGAACAAGTACAATTTTATTATTTTTAGGAACTACCTGTTTGGGCATTGGAGAGATCTTTGATGTGTCCCCTTTTCGGAAATAAATATTATTTAGTTTTAATTACACAATTGAGGGCCAAATACATAATTTACAATGTTTCATCATTATAACAAAATGATCTGATAAAAGATGTGCTTATTAAAATTAATTTTAATTGTTTCCACTGATAATATTCAGTTAAAATTACTTAGTGTACGTTGATCAATATGCATGATTAAATAATTTCTTATATTTTATAAATTAAACTACTTTTAATTAAAATCCTACTTTTCCTAATCTAGTGTCAGTTTTGGGATTTGCAGTAACACTTTGAGCTGCTACAATCAATTCATTTGCTTTTGTCTGTAAATCTCTAACATCGTGTATATACAGCATCCTTAAAATTTTCGCTGCATTATTTAGAACAGGATCATTTAAATCAAAACCCAAATCTGCTTCTTGAAAAGGAAATGGAGTTCCCTAAAAAAAAATAAGATAACAAGGCAGATGAATGACGAAATTATAATTACCTCGACAATATATTTTTGTGGATTTTCCACTCGGTCTGGGGCCATCCTATTTGTTATAACTTTTCTTACTGCACGTAAGGTAATCAGTGGATCAGGGTGAGGTACCACTTTCAAGATTTTAGCTAATTCATTAATTCCATTTGCAAATTCTTTACTTCGAACTAAAATAGAAAACTTGTAATTTTTTAAATATTATCACGTCACCTTTCTTACAATCTAGTTTATCTAGAGGATTTTCTGCCACAACAGTAGGAGCGTTAGTGGTTTGAATATTTTCTACTGCATATTTTAAGTATAAATTTCCTAAAATGAAAAAAAGTATTAAATATATCTTCCTATTGTTAATTGTTATAACTATACTCACGGTTTGCAGATGTTGCAATTTGTACAGCATAACCTAATAACCACTGTAACTCTTCTAACTTGGTTTCTAGGACTGGACATCCAAGTCCATCTTTATATTTGATGAAAACATTATCCCAATCCCCTCCGTTAATATTTTTCAGAGCATTAAAAATATTTGGCGGTGCACGTTTAATCCTGTTAGTCTCTAGCCAAACAACAATCTTTTTAAAAGTAATTGGATCTAAAAGTAATAAGATTATTTAGCAAGTCGCTACAAATTTCTTACATCTGTACCATTTAAATTTAAAGAATCTGCTTGAGGATACTCCAAGGCATTTAACAATCTTTTCGACATAACTACTACTCTCAAGATTTTTTTCTAAAAAAATAATTCTACAATTCCTTTTTCAGTTGCAATGTCACAAACATAGAAAATATAGAAGTACTATATTTTCTATGCACACAAATCAAATCACAAAACACTTCTCTAGTTCCTAATCAATCACACCATTGAACATAAATATATTAAATTCATAAGCTACCACAGACTTCTTTCTAAGTTTATACTCTGGTTTATATAAAAGCTGTGTAAAGCCGGCGCCACACGATGACCTCATGGCCCTACTACACATAACAACCCCACCAATTTGAAAAAAAATTCTGCTGATTTTGCTGACAAGAAAGCTCGAAAAGCATTATTGTAAATTTGGAAATAATAAGTGTTAAATAATTTGTGACCAAAACTTTACCAAATTATATAGATTAATTATAATTTAAATTCAAATATGAAAATTTTTTTTAAGTATCAATTAATTAATCAATAAGTAATCAATCAAAAGTATTATTAATATTTTGGTACTAAAATTCATTATTATGCACTACACTTTATAATTAAATTAGTGGGAAAAATATTGACTAATGTTTATTAATTTGTAAATGAACAAAGTGGTAGAAAAAATAATCCTCTGCGACTGCCCGTCAGACACAAACTCCTGCCAATCCACGGCAGCAGGGGGGTGGTTTACACGAACCAGGAAAAGGCCGAGGCTTTCGCCGATAGCCTGGAACTGCAGTGTAGACTGTAGACTACCCCAGCTGCCGGACGAGGACGGGAATTTCGAAGAGGCTGCTATGCTTGCGGCCCTACGCGTTAACAGAGAGCCCAACAACGACATTATACAACTTGACACATCAGACGAACTCAGACAAATATTATTATGACACCTAAAAAACAGAAAAGCCCCTGGACCTGACTAAATACACAACATTAAACTAAAAAGACACAATTAAGGGTCTCATGGTCCTACTAAGCATAACAAACGTTACACTCAGACTCAGAGACTTCCCTACAAGCTGGAAAACAGCAAACATAATCCTCATTCCTAAACCCAACAAAGACCATACCTTCCCTTCCAATTACCGGTCTATCAGCCTACTCCCGGCTATGAGCAAAGTGGCAGAAAAAATAATCCTTTCCCGCCTAAAAACCCACTCTGAAGAACTGCGAGTCATTCCTGTCACACAGTTTTCGCCTTCCGCCCTAACCACTCCACCGAATTCCAAATCCTACGCCTTACCGAGCATGTCACGAGGGCCTTCAACAGGAGGCAGTTCACCGGAGCTCTATCTTCCTGGATGTCGCAAAAGCCATATCCCTTATCAAACTCACTACCTACCTTTTCCACAACCCATCCCAAGGAGGCCGGTGTCCCGCAGGGCTCCGTACTATCCCCACACCTCTACACTATTTACAACCCCGACATACCTCACACCTGACCATAAAAGCACAATCCATAAATGCAACACACTTATAGAACGCTTTAAATCAACTTGAAACCTGGTGTAACACGCGCCATTATTCCATGGCTAGAAATTGGCCTCAATGATTTGGGATCGAGGGGGATTATCCCTCTTTATCCTGCCTCATCTCGTGTAGGNGTGTTAAATAATTTGTGACCAAAACTTTACCAAATTATATAGATTAATTATAATTTAAATTCAAATATGAAATTTTTTTTTAAGTATCAATTAATTAATCAATAAGTAATCAATCAAAAGTATTATTATTATTTTGGTACTAAAATTCATTATTATGCACTACACTTTATAATTAAATTAGTGGGAAAAATATTGACTAATTTTTATTAATTTGTAAATTTTTGTTCCTAGAGAAAATAAAATTTAATTTTCTTTTCAATGTTTAAATTATTCCTTTAAAAACAAGACAGATTATTTATTTAATAAATTTGAGGGAAAATCTTAAAAGAGGACGTACGCATAAAAAATAATGTTTTTTTCAATACCTTAACTAGGCCCCCACCAAATTTCTGCCTATAGGCCTCACAAACGTAAATCCGGCGCTGTTCCCGGCTATGAGCAAAGTGGTAGAAAAAATAATCCTCTGCGACTGCCCGTCAGACGCAAACTCCTGCCAATCGACGGCAGCAGAGGGGTGGTTTACACGAACCAGGAAAAGGCCGAGGCTTTCGCCGACAGCCTGGAACTGCACTGTAGACTGTAGACTACCCCAGCTGCCGGACGAGGACGGGAATTTCGAAGAGGCTGCTATGCTTGCGGCCCTACGCGTTAACAGAGAGCCCAACAACGACATTATACAACTTGCCACATCAGACGAACTCAGACAAATATTAAGACACCTAAAAAACAGAAAAGCCCCTGGACCTGACTAAACACACAACATTAAACTAAGAAGACACAAGGGTCTCATGGTCCTACTAAGCATAACAAACGTTACACTCACACTCAAAGACTTCCCTACAAGCTGGAAAACAGCAAACATAATCCTCATCCCTAAACCCAACAAAGACCATACCTTCCCTTCCAATTACCGGTCTATCAGCCTACTCCCGGCTATGAGCAATGTGGTAGAAAAAATAATCCTTTCCCGCCTAAAAACCCACTCTGATGAACTGCGAGTCGCCATTATTCGCGCCATTATTCTATGGCTAGAAATTGGCCTCAATGATTTGGGATCGAGGGGGATTATCCCTCTTTATCCTGCCTCATCTCGTGTAGGCCTGGACAGCCTTCGTAGGTGGGCCCCATCCGTCGTCTACCCCGACCGCAAATGCGGCCGGTGTAGGCGCTTTGTGGGTCCTCCTTTTGTCCTGGCTGGGCCCCGCCGGTTAGGGCCCTTTCTTCTGGCGCTCTTCTTGCTTCGCCGGCTCGTCTGTGTAAACCCCAGGGGTGGTGTCATGTTTATGTGTGGTATGGTTGGGTAGGGTAGTGCGGTTATGCAGCCTGGGATGCGCTTTGCTAAGGTGGCCCTTAGGGTAGCGCGGGTGGGGAGGGGTAAGGAGGGTATGGGGAGTGTGTATGTGTGTGTGTCGTTGTCTTCGTTTCTTGATCCTGGCGGTCTCTGAAACACAAAAGGTTAGCGGGGGGGGGGGGGGGGATGTCGTAGGGGTGGTCACCCAGGGTCAAAAAGTTGGTGTCTAGGTCTTTTGTGTTTGTCGGTCACGTCGGGTACGTAGTCAACGGCTTGCCTGAGGAGGGGATTGTCATGTCTCGCGGCTACGTTAACCGTTTCTCCGCGTTTTGTCTTATTGTCTGTGTAGCGTTTGTGTATTGTAAGTCTCGTAATATGTCAGAGTTTCTTACGTACCAGGGCGCGTCGGTGGCCGTGCGGAAGGCTATGTTTTCCACAGCCTGTAATGACTACCTGGTGTAACAGGTGGAAAGTCAAAATTAACACCAACAAAAGTACTGCCATACTCTTTTACTAGAGTAGCAAAATTCCCCCCGACCTATATATACTGACAATATCCCAGGAACCTATTTCCTGGGGCCGACATACGCGATACCTTGGGCGTGACGATGGACCGGCGACTTACGTGGAAAACGCACATATATCGCGGAGACAGTAGCGCGAGCGAGGACCACCAGGGATAAGCTCTATCCTTTACTCAAGGGGAGCGCGCGCCATTATTCTATGGCTAGAAATTGGCCTCAATGATTTGGGATCGAGGGGGATTATCCCTCTTTATCCTGCCTCATCTCGTGTAGGCCTGGACAGCCTTCGTAGGTGGNTCGGGGGTCGCAATTTTAAAGAAATGTATTTTAAAGTAATGCAAATAACTGATAAATAAGTTAAAACTTACCTGGGCATAACCCCGGGACAGGTACCTGAACAAAGATGCCGACGGCCTCTATGCTTAGCCGGGGATTAGGTCTGTGATTAAAAGGAGAGAAAGGGATTCTTTCCAGGTAGCCTTAATAAAGGCAGGTAGATTTTGCTCGTTGCAATCACTTCACCTCACATACAGACGACCTAGATACTTATTGACCTGATTTCCCCTCCCCCCCATGCTAACCGTATATGTTTCAGGAACAGCCAGGACCAAGAAGAATCAAAGAAAAGACAAATTTCAAAAAACCCATTCTCCGCGGAGCCGCAGACAAACTCCGCGGTGACCTTGACGTACCCTATACCCCCGCACCGGCCTGGGAGTCACCGACTCAAAGGCCGCGTGCATTCCCCTCGGGGGCCTAGACAAGCCGGCGAAGAAAGAAAAATCAAGACACGAAGAGCGCCAGAAGAGGCTCCCCTGCCGGCGGGGGCCAGCCAGGGCTAGGGGAGGTTCCGCAAAGCGCCTACACCAGATGCTTGTGGTCGGGGTAGACGATGGCCGGGGCCCACCTTCACGAGGCTGCCAAGGCCTACAAAGATAAGACAGGACAAAGAGAGATAGTCCCCTTCGGTCCCAAATTATTGAGGCCACGTTTAACGCCAAAAATAACGGTGCACACTGGATTGAAGGAAAGTAGGAGTCAATATATATACTATATATGGGGGCTTTCGTTTTGGCAAAAAATAGTATCTATTAGCCATTAATGTCAGTTCAGAGTAACTATAAGTTGCTATTAGCTGCTGATAGCTAAAATCCTTGGCTGATAGCTACTATTTTTGCCAAATCGAAAGGCCCTAAGGACATGGAAGTTGAAAGCTTACTGCGACAGTGTAGACGAGTGACAGCGAGTTAAATAGATAGTTTGGGTACTTTTTTCTCTCCTACGCATACATCTGATTGGCTAATGCAACTCCTTCCTCAACGATTAGATAGAAAGAGAGAGAGTACCCAAACTTACGCTCTTTCTCTCTACATTTTGTAACATTGGTATTCCTCCCTGTAGTATACGCTCTAATCAACAAACAGACATAAATTTATTCTTTGAACTTCTCCAGTCCCCGGACCCGACAATATACATAACACGACACTCAAACGACTACCACACAAGGGCCTCATGGCCCTACTAGACATAACAAACGCGACACTCAGACTAAGACACTTCCCTACCCGCTGGAAAACAGCAAACATAATCCTTATCCCAAAACCCAACAAAGATCACACCATCCCATCCAACTACCGGCCCATTAGCCTGCTCCCGGCTATGAGCAAAGTGGTAGAAAAAATTATCCTAACCCGTCTAAGAACCCACTCCCAAGAACTGCAAGTCATTCCAGACGAGCAGTTCGCCTTCCGACCCAATCACTCCACTGAACTCCAAATCCTTCGCCTTACCGAGCACATCACGGCGGCCTTCAACAGGGGACAGTACACTGGTGCTGTCTTCCTGGACGTCGCAAAGGCCTTCGATACGGTTTGGCATGAAGGCCTACTGATGAAAATGCTCACCAACCAATATCCCATATCCTTTACCAAACTCATAAAATCCTACCTACACCACCGAAAATTCCGCATCCAAATCCAAGATTCCCTTTCCACCACCCGTCCCATGGAGGCCGGTGTCCCCCAGGGCACCGTCCTGTCCCCACACCTATACACCATTTACAACTCCGACATCCCACATCCCCCCAACACCAACATATACTTATACGCCGACGACCTGACAATCACATCCCAATCCGTAGATCCTAGATATTCCGTCTCCCTCCTCCAAAACTCCTTAGACCAACTTGAAACCTGGTGCAACAGGTGGAAAGTCAAAATTAATCCCAACAAAAGTTCGGCTATCCTTTTTACCAAACGAAAAATCCCACAAAACCTTGACAGACTGACACTATCCCAGGAACCCATCTCCTGGAATCGACAAACACGATACCTGGGCGTGACGATGGACCAGCGTCTCACGTGGAAACCGCACATCGTGGAGACGGTGGCGCGAGCGAAGACCACCAGGGCTAGGCTCTATCCCTTACTCAAAGGTGGAAACACCCTCAGTTTAAGGAATAAGCGAACGCTTATCAAGGTGGTACTTCAACCGCAGCTAACCTACGCCTCCACGGCGTGGGGTCACGCGGCAAAAAGCCACTTAAAGTCATTACAGGCTGTGGAAAACATAGCCCTCCGCACGGCCACCGACGCGCCCTGGTACGTAAGAAACACTGACATATTACGAGACTTACAATACACAAACGCTACACAGACAATAAGACAAAACGCGGAGAAACGGTTTGACGTAGCCGCTAGACATGACAATCCCCTCCTCAGGCAAGCCGTTGACTACGTACCCGATGTGACTGACAAACACTAAAGACCTAGACACTAACTTTTTGATGACGTCGTTGGGGTGACCACCCCAACGACCATCCCCCCCCCCTGCCCGCTAACCTTTTCTGTTTCAGAGATTGCCAGGATCAAGAAACGAAAACAACGACACACACACATACACCCCCCCATACCCTCCTTATCACTCCCTTCCCGCGCTAGCCTAAGGGCTAGGGATAATCCCCCTCGATCCCAAATCATTGAGGCCAATTTCTAGCCATGGAATAATGGCGCGAACTTCTCCAGTAATATCGAACATGTCACCATACCGCACCATATTGCATAATATTTACAGACCACCAGATTTAGATTCTTTCTAGATTTGAGTATACTTGTCTAATCTAGGGATTGAAGTTCCACGCTAGTTATAGAGGTCATTTGATTTGCGCATTTAGAATCTTGAATCTGCCTGGCCGGTACATTCTGCTTTCTGTGCTCTGTGTTTTTCTGTATTGTGTCTTCAGTCGTACCACTTGTCACTTGTCAGGGAGCGAGTTTGTTCATTGTTTATTAATAAAAAAAACGTCTTAACTTTCTAATTAATAAATGGGAATTTACTCTTAGTAGTTGTGATGTTAGTTTTGTGAAAATGTCATTTCATCAACCATATTCCGGCGACATTTTACATTTAAATGTTGGTGGAAAAAGGTAGGAAAGTAAAAAAGTGCAACATATTTTAGTTATCCAAAAGCTGTACTTTCTTAGGTTTTCAACTTCAAGACAAACTTTAACTTTAATACCTGATACGTTCTTTACTGCCCTCCTAAGTGGAAGGATCTCTAGCCTGAGGGATGAGAAGGGTGCTATATTTATTGATAGAGATCCAAAAATTTTCTCAATCATCTTGAATTACTTACGTACTAGAGAGATAGAGTTAAATGGGACTGATATTAGAACTCTAAGGCATGAGGCAGAATATTACAATATTGCACCTTTAGTTAAGAGACTTATGTTGTGCGAAGAACTGACACAATCAACATGTGGCGATGTCCTTTTTTACGGTTCTTTACCACCGCCTTGTAAGTTCCTCAGATATTTTTGAGCAAGTTAAATTTAATTCTAATGTCCATAGATATTCCCATACAAGATTCTAACAATGGAGCTTTACCATTTGTGGAAACCACAGCTGTACATCAGGTACGACCTGGCTCTAGTATCAGAATGCCTGAAAGCCAAAATGGCGGTGGAGATAGTAACAAAGCATCTACAAGTACTCCAAGCGAATGTGGTGAAAATTCAAAAAATACATCTGGACAGAATCAGCCAGTATCTCAAGCCGTAACTTCTGGTTTACCACAAAATAGAGCACAAGGTAAAATTAATATTATAATTAAGATGAAATGTGAAAAAAATTCTTATATTTAATAGTAAATATGTTTCATAATATAATTACTAGATTTTCATACATAACATAAAATTTGTTTCATTTTATAAACATTGAAACTCAGTTTATTAACAAATTTTGAATAAATTACAAATAATAATCGATGGAATTGAAACTTGATGAACATTCTTGTTATTATTAATATCATAAATTAAAATATAAATATAGCAAGTTTGATAAATGATTTTTTCAGAGATTTTTACTTTATATCTGTTCTATTATTTATATACTATGTGAAAATTAGTTATAAACTTTTATTTTTTTCTTGCAGGTCATTCACGAAATTCTTCCTTAGAATTAAGATTAGGTATGTCTACGAGTTACAGCAGAAGTTCCCAAGATTTAAGAGGCCTTGCAAGCCGAGGACATTCTAGAGCAGCTTCTTTAGATCTAAGACATGTCAGAAATTCATCTGCTGATTTAAACAAATTAATAAGAAATGATGTTGGACTAATTTTTGGAATGACAAGTAAAATTATTTATTATCTCAAGTAAATGAAGTAAAATGATTAATAAATTCTGATTTTAGATTCTAGTTGGGCAGATCCACTTAGAGTTCAAATTATAAAAGCACATCACAATTGGATTGTGGTTGCTTATGCCCATTTCGTTGTTTGCTATAGGTAAGTCCATTTATCTATAAGAGTGTAGGGCCACTTTTAAACTAAAAAATAAAGCACAATTATTTTTTTGTTGCATCGGAATTTCTTAAAATAATATTCAAATGGGGAGTGATGACAATCTTACTGGTTTGAGAAACAGGAACTTCCATTACATTTACTTTGTCAATTCTGTTATGTTGCAAAGCTGGTAGTGTCAACAATGGCCAATAGTAGTGATTAATTGCTTAAGTAAATCAACAGTACACTGGATTTACTCGTAATGCAATGCCAACAAAAAGAAAACGTAAGCTGGAATTTTTTATCAAAATTATAAAATGTGGTTGTATACAGGGTCGGAAAGTCCTCATGGTTCATCGGCCGTTACGCGAGAGCGATAAAGTAAGTCATAGAAATCCGTGCAATAGAAAAAGATGGCTATAATGAAGGCGTCTAATAGTCACCGCCCATTTCACCCTTCCACAAATAAGAAGTGGATCTTATTTGTGGAAGGGCGAAATGGGCGGTGACTATTAGACGCCTTCATTATAGCCATTTTTTTCTGTCGCGCGGATTTCTATGACTTTCTTTATCGCTCTCACGTAACGGCCGATGAACCATGGGGACTTTCCAACCCTGTATTTGTCTTTACAGTTGCTATAAAAATAATTATAATGTGCAAATTCCACAAATATTATGTCATCCGATGTGCTAATTCGAAATTAATATATTCACTGTGACTGGTTTTAACGATTTTCTGATTTCGTGATACCAAATTAGATCTGCATTTGGTGGTATGAGGCATACGAGTATACAGGGTGTCCCACCACGAACTCTATCGATGAATATTTGGGAAACCGCTTGAAGGATTTTTTTGAAATTTTGATGGTGTGTTAAGGACCGTGGGGCCTGCCAAGCTAAAATATTTTCAAGGTCATCGCACTTCCGGTTATACCGTATTCACATTCTGCAAAAAAATTAAGTGTACCTTTGTTAAAGTTTCCCTATACCTAAACCTAGTGGTTTTCATTTTATTTACGAATAAACATTTCCCTTTTCTTAAAACGATGTTTCCATTTGTTTTACACATTTTAGGTTGGCCGTGACAGGTAAGTAACAATCAACATGACAACTGTCACAGGTTTTTAATTGTCAAATCTATTTAGTTCCTTGTGCGTCGCTGCTCTAATAGAATCCGGTGATATATGCTATTTTATTTGGGACACTAAAAATAGTGTGTATAGTACTCCAGTAACAACAAAGGAAAATTGTATGCATAGAGTAAGACAAGCATTTGAGCATCTATCACCGGAATTTAATAGAGCAGCGACCCACAAGGAACTAATCCGAAGGTGTGAAAAATGTTTAGAAGTTGAGAAGTTGAAGGAAGACATTTTGAACTTTTATTAAAATAAATTTGACAATTAAAAACCTGTGACAGTTGTCATGTTGATTGTTACTTACCTGTCACAGCCAACCTAAAATGTGCGAAACAAATGGAAACATAATTTTTAGAAAAGTTACACTTAATTTTAGTGCAGAATGTGATTACGTTAAAAAATTAGGGGTTTCCATTTAAAAATTTCGAGTTTTTCACATTTTCTGAACTTCATATTCGATAAATTTTTTTTGACTACCCTGTAACTGGAAAATTTTCATGTCAAATTCGATAAATATATAGGTGGTTCCATTTAAAATATGAAAGTTAGTGTTGACTTCCGGTATAACTTGAAGTACGATGACCTTGAAAATATTTATCACGCCATCACAATTTCAAAAAAATCCTTCAAGCGGTTTCCCAGATATCCATCGATGGAGTTCGTGATGGGACACCCTGTATTGTGTCCTGTAAATATATATTTTTTTTTATTGTAATCCAATTATACTTTAAAATGAAACTGTTTCAACATTGATGTGAATTTATAAAATGTGATTACACAAGTGTGAGTTTAAATGTGATGTCATTTTCGATATCATCGAAGTTGTCTCCATCAAAAACATTGTGATTTCTTAACATGTTCTCTACTTCAAGTGCATGGGACATACAGAGCCTTCATAAATGATTACAAGCCACCTGACCAGTAATTTTGTTTGGAACAGTAATTTTATTTCCTTCACGTTGGCAATTAAATTTCAGTAAAATCAAAACAATTATATCAAGATTACATTAAAACGCAACATTCTGTTTCTGGTGATTGGTGTAATTTTTCACGAGATTCTATTCAACCAATCAGCGATCACATTATCTCGACCATAGACATAACAGTTTGTCATTGTTTATTGCGAACGAATCATTAATATTGGTGACATCAGGATTTAGGGAATTTCAATTGACACTATCAAGTGTGCATTGTTTGTTACCTAAGCTCGACTGTCTGCGGCTTGTAAACATTTATAAAGCCTCTCGTACATGCCCTGTGCCACAGTAAATGTGAAATATTCTATACTTCTTTCCCTTTGCTCATAACAATTAAAAATAAAAAAATGATTAAATACATGTGTAATATTTAAAATTTTACTTTTCTTATTTGGAATTTTAGACTAAAAGATTCAAGTGGCTGGCAGCAGGTCTTTACCAGCCCATACATAGAAAGTTGTATAGAAAGAATTGCAATAAATGCGAAAATGGGCTCTACAGAGACATCCAAAATGGTAGCGATTTCTTATGGCAGTCAAGTTCGTTTATGGGGCATATCAGATGCCGGTTCGAGGACTAATATCGGTATGACATGAGTTTACCTATTACTACCTAGATTACCTATCATGAAGTCACTACATGTTACTTTTTTCTTGTATTATTAGGTATTTCTACTAAACTGAAAAGAAAATGATAAATAATAACACAGTTTGCATTTTGAAAAACTTTCATTCTCAAATAGTCAACTATAATTGTGGTGTGGTGTATGATAAGCGTTTATCATAATACATAATACTTTACGCAATTTTGGTACATTAAATCAAATTATAAATTTGAGGTTAGGCTTAGGGGGGAAGTGCTGATCTTTAGTCTAGTGTTGGGTCGGTGTATTGTATAGCCATTATTGGTTAAAAAGGCAGTGTAATTTCCACCTGGTGTGTACCTCTGTACCAATGAGGTAACAGAAATAGACCTTATATTGTTCATTTCCCAAGAGATGAAGATATGGTGCTTAATAATTCCACGTGCTGACTTCTATCAAGTCATTTTTATGTACTATATGTAATAATTTAGTGTTGTGAAATATCACATACAGGGTGGGCCATTAGTGTGAGAAAATAAAATAATAACTCCCTTGTTACGCATAATACAGAAAAAAAGTTTATATAAAAGTTGTACATAATCAAGAAACCTAAACTACAAAATTAATTTGAAACATACAGGGCGATGAGTAAAAACGGGATACGACAAATATTACATTTTTTAAACACCCTGTATATTTTTAAACATGGATTTCCGAGAAAATTCTATATATAGCGATATAAACAGTTTATCATTTTAGTGCGTAGTTGCCAAGTTATGTAGAAAATTCTTCGAATTTTGGAAAAAACATGACGTCGAAAAAATTGTATTAACTTTCAGTTACTAACACTTGGAACAAAATAATTAGTTATAGGCAAATGTTAGACAAAGGCTCCTATATTAGCTAATATTGATATTTTATACAGGGCATTTTTTATAATACAATCATTTTTAGAAATTTAAAATTTTTTAAATGGAATGTATTTTATTTCTGAAAATTTTTTATTATTTTATAGAATACCACAAATAAATATTAACTAATAAATGATAAATTATGAACTGACAAGTTGACACAAAAAAATCAAGTTTGAACTTTCTAAAAATGCTCGTGTTATAAAAAATGTCCTGTATAAAATATCGATATTAGCTAATATAGGAGTCATCACCAGAGAGCGGACAATTAGTGTCTTTAACCTGAACATAGATATGTCATTCATAAATCTAGATACGTTATCCATGACGCAGTGGAGTGTCGGGTATACATCGGGAATTCACGTCATAATTCACGAAAATTCCACGGTACATATATTTTTAGGCTTTATAAAATATTTAGAAAATCAGAAATTGTATAACTACATATTTATTCAATAAAGTTCAGTTAAAAATAGTGTCGTACTGGAAGTTAGGAGTTAATGTAACGAATATCCTCAGGCGACGCACATGATAGAATAGTCCAATCCACGCTCCATTCATAACAGGGCTGCAGTTTGAATTCTGACCATTAGGAATTTGATAAACGCAACCGATGTTGACGGATGGACTAGAGATGGGCGCGAGTGTCATTTAATTTCTTTAGGACTAAATCAACTTAATTATTTTCTCGTTGTTTTATCAGTTCACATGATTTACGGATTTTAAATAAAGGATACAAATCTTCGCGAGGACAATACGATATATTTATTATAGATAGTAATTATATTTTGCATAGTTTACACACAATACATTTTTGAACGCATACACATCCTTACCTGAATTTGACCTAATCTTCGGGTTAAAGACACACATTGTCTGCCCTCTAGTTATCACCTAATATTTGCCTATAACTCTGTCAAATATTTTTGCTCCACGTGTTAGTAGTTGAAGGATAATACAACTTCTTCAAGGTAATGTTTTTTTTCCAAAATTCAAAGAATTTTCTACATAACTTGAAAACCTCGCACTAAATGTTAAACTGTTTATATTGCCATATGTATACGGAATTTTCTCAGAAATCCATATGTTTAAAAATATACATGATTCATTTAAAAAATGTAATATTTGGGGTGTTTCGTTTTTACTCATCACCCTATACGTTTCAAATTAATTTTGTCGTTTAGGTTTTTTGATTTTGTTCAACTTTTATATAAACTTTTTTTCTGTATTATGAACAATAAGGGAGTTATTTTACCTTCTCACACTAATGGGCCACCCTGTATATGATAAAACATATTAGTTTTCTAAGTATTTTCGCTAGATTTTGAATATGATCCCAACATATCCACTGATCAACTACCACCCCTAAATATTTATTTTTGTCCTTTTTTTCTAAGCATTCAGTTATAATTGCCTACGCTACTTTTTGTTACAAAATTTCTATTTATCTATAAAATAAAATTCTAGTCAACTTCAGTAATAGGAAATATAACCAATATCTCATATGTTTCATAGAAGTACTGAGGGTTAGAAGTCATCAACAAACACAAAAAATTATTACCGTATAAGAAATAATATCGCTGTCAATGCTCTCCAAATATGCTGTTATTTATGTAAATTTAAAATAAAATGGGATCCAATATTGTACCATGTGGCACCCCCTAATATCCAAGAGTGCTCAGTGTTTTTTTTAAGCAGTGAGTGATCTAAGGTGTCAAAATGCCTTGGCTAGTTATAAAAATGTACCAAGACAATTTTTATATTAATTTGGAAATTTAATAAAGTTATTAATGAACTCCAGCATCTTCAGTACTAATTTTATTACTGAAATGATATTGACTGTCAGATAAAATATTAAACTTTTCAATGTATCTAATTAAATAATATTTTAAAGGATTTAACATATTTCAGCAATTGTGGTGAGGCATATTAAGATTATTAAGTAAAAGAGATTTCCATTACAAATTGTTTTTTAACACGTTGACTGCGAGATAATCTCAATGTACTTGTCCGTGACTGCGATACATATCTTCGGGGATATCTAACAAAACTTCTTCTGTGTGCGGTACATATCCTTGGGGATATGTAATTTTTTTTACATTTGATCCTATAAAATTAAAAATAACACAATTATTGCTATAAACTTGCATGTATCTGTAACTATATATGTATGTATGGTACCGCAGTTAACGTGTTAAATATTTATTCTTTTTATTTACTTTTTGCTGTTGGCATTTGCTTTCAAATTTTGCCACATATTAGAAATATCTAATATATGGCAAATCTAATCAAATCAAATTTAATTCTTATATTCTAATTTGAATAAGACATATTTTTAATTTGAATTCCCAAAACTATATATACAATTTATTTTATTCATAACTAAATCTGCAACATATACATACTTTAGTTTTGGGATGTCACCTCTGTCACCTCTGAAGTGACATCAAAACAATGTGGTAATCTCGGTGGTAATGGTTTACCACATAGAGAGATTGTTATAAACATTTAAATTTTAGGTACCTTCAATTTGCACGTTAGGGTAGAGTATCTATTTTTTATTGGCAGCCAGTTGGTGGCTCTGTCTCCTTCTGGGAAATTAGGTGTATGGCATGCGATGACACAACACTGGCAGACTCAAGATGTTATGCCAATCGCTTCATTTGACACGGCGGGATCAATATTGTTGCTTGGCTGCAACAATGGCTGTATTTACTACATAGGTAAAAACTTAATTGCATTGTTGATTAATTAATTACTAAAATCCTTAAATTATTTTAGATATGCAAAAATTCCCATTGAGAATGAAAGATAACGATCTTTTGGTTACTGAACTTTATCGGGATCCTAATAATGACACTGTGACTGCTATTTCGGTATACCTAACTCCAAAAACCAGTAAGTATTAAAATGCCTTGCTTCTGTTTTATTACTATATCATGACCATGACCAGCTTCCATTTGTTATTTTTCTGAATTTGCCCAAAATAAAATCAAAACTGAATATTGTTTACTTTTTTACATTAATTATTGAAATATATTTTCCCATTGTAAAATGTGCAATTTTGTCAGTATACATGTATCTATCGTTACGTTAAGTTATAACGTTTTGCGTGAAGCAAGCTTTGATAGTTGTCATGGAGATACACATTGAACAGCATTCAGCAGTCAAGTTCTGTTTTAAAGTCGGTAAAACAGGTACAGAAACGTATTAACTGTTACAAATGGCGTATGGTGAGGAGTGTGTATCACGTCCTACTGTGTTCCTGTGGTTTGGGAGGTTTGATATTGGCCGAGAATTTTTTCTAAGCATCGGAGAAATTTAATTGTTGTCTCTTCTTGTTTGGAGGAATGCAGTGATCGGTTGCATGCATGGCAACATCATTGTGCCTCTATGACGATACAGGCAGCAATAGCGATGTTGTCGGAGTCTCACGAAAAATATTAGAAAGATTAGTGAAAAATCAAGACATTATTTTAGCAGAATGTTCTATGTGTTTTTTATACCAATTTTACGGCGGGAACTGCGCCATTTGGACTTTTCTTGAAGAATTTTTCTAAAACATAGGTAAGGAAGATTTGAAGTTCACTCGCCCTGTATACTACANCCAAAAACCAGTAAGTATTAAAATGCCTTGCTTCTGTTTTATTACTATATCATGACCATGACCAACTTCCATTTGTTATTTTTCTGAATTTGCCCAAAATAAAATCAAAACTGAATATTGTTTAATTTTTTACATTAATTATTGTAATATATTCTCCCATTGTAGAATGTGCAATTTTGTTCCTATTTTAGTTTATTTAGGAAAAATATAAACAATCTGTTCATAAATTCCACCAATAATGCTTAAGACCTTTAAATTTTACTTAAAAATAACTTTTTATACATTATATTAGTCCAGCTATTAAATTTTAAAACTGGTTTTATTGTGAAATGTGCGATGCTGTCTATCTGTGGTTAGCAGAACTACGTGGTGGGAAGCCTTCTGAGTGACCGAACAAAATTTCGTCAGTATACATGTATCTATCGTTACGTTAAGTTATAACGTTTTGCATGAAGCGAGCTTTGATAGTTGTCATGCAGATACACATTGAACAGCATACAGCAGTCAAGTTCTGTTTTAAAGTCGGTAAAACAGCCACAGAAACGTATTAACTGTTACAAATGGCGTATGGTGAGGAGCGTGTATCATGTCCTACTGTGTTCCTGTGGTTTGGGAAGTTTGATAATGGCCAAGAATTTTTTCTAAACATCGGAGAAATTTAATTGCTGCCTCTTCTTGTTTGAAGAAATGCAGTACTCAGTCGCATGCATGGCAACTCTATGCCTCTACGACAATTCTGGCAGCAATAGCGATGTCTGCGGAGTCTCACGAAAAATATTAGAAAGATTAGTGAAAAATTGAGTCTCATTATTTTAGCGGAATTGATCTAGTGTTTTTTTATACCGATTTTACGGTGGGAATTGTGCCATTTGGACTTTTCTTGAAGAATTTTTCTAAAACATAGGTAAGGAAGATTTGAAGTTCACTCGCCCTGTATACTACAACAATAACTTCTAATTCTAATATGTATATCGGAGACACTCGGTGGACATGGGGATTAATTTGCACCATTGTCTCCATCGAAATAATAAACGGGTGACGTAATACTATTTATTACAAGTGCGAACACTAAAGTATGGGAGCTGTTATACAAGTTATAAAATAGGAATTAACGGTCCGCCACTGTCAGCCCTATAACCTGTTCACTACTTTTCTATCAAAACAATAATAACAATAATAATAATAATAATAATAAAAGCCACACAGCTATGGTTGTTTCATCAATTGAATGATGCAGTTGCTTCTCGGGCATTCAGTTTTGTTCCGTTCACAGGAGCATTTCCCAGTGCATACCTCTACCCTATCAGTTTACCTTTTTACCAAACATGACTATATAAGGAAGTGTTTACAAAAGTTAGATAATGATGGTCTTTCACACACAGGCTGAAACCTAGCCCTGAAGAGATAACAATTTGGTCCTCTAAATATTTCTGTAACATAAACAAAAACAAGCCCTTCAACATTCCATTGATGGTGACAGTTCCTCGAGTGACTACGAATTCATAAGCGGTTACAAGCACTCTAGTTTTTTAACATTTTTAGTTTATGTATTCCACTATGTGGAAGAGCATGTGAACTCAAGAGAACTAAAGAATTAGTTCCATGAACTATTCATTTTAATAAATGAAATCGAGTGAAAAACAAAAAATTGCTTTTATCAAGGAAAGTGTTTTTTTACTCTCCATAAGTGTCTTAATATTAAACACAGTTTTGTTATTTTTTCTCGAATTCTTGAAACACAAAAAAACTTTTATTCCACTAATAAGTCGTAATTTCCAGCGGATAGGAAATGAATATTATTTTTGAATTTCTTTCTCTAATAACCATAATTGAAATTTTTAGCTTGATTGATGGAAAAACATTTAAAGTGCCATAATTTTTTTAAAACTTTTTTTTGTCTACTGAAAAAGAGCAATATTTCACTAAGACATGATGGCTGGTTGAGCTGGTTCTTGACATGAATCTGTCACTAAATTCTGTGCTAATTCTTAATGAAACAACCTGTATAACTGGTTATACCACTTACAACTTTTTTAATTTTGTGCACAATGAAGTAAATGAAAGGNCAATATTTCACTAAGACATGATGGCTGGTTGAGCTGGTTCTTGACATGAATCTGTCACTAAATTCTGTGCTAATTCTTAATGAAACAACCTGTATAACTGGTTATACCACTTACAACTTTTTTAATTTTGTGCACAATGAAGTAAATGAAAGGGAGATATATTTTCATATGATCATGTAAAAAAAAATAAACTCAATTTTCAGTTAACGAAAAAAGCTGTTTTATTATTTTTTTTATCTCAGTACAAAATTTTGGGCAATTTCAGTACACATTTTGTTGTCAATTTCCCAGTAACTTATGCCTTGTGTTTCATGCCAGCGTCAGAGAGGGGTCGCGAAGGTATGAGACAGTTTTTGAACACATATACACATATCTGATATGTTATTTATTTAGCTATACAATGTACATCAGACTTAAACATCATTACAATACAACATTCAAGAAACCTTAAGCTTTAGATTTTGCAAAAGCTTTATTTGCAAGTCTGAATGAGGAACATATTTTTGTTTGTCTATAAAACTATGTAATACTGCTTTTAGAACTAAATTTTTAAATTTTTTTCTTTACATAGAATTTGCCTCTTCTTGTCCTTTGGAGTATTATTTCATTTGATTTGATATTTTAATACAAATAATTAAACGGTAATCTCTTAGGAGCATATAGGGTAAATTAAAATAACACTCCGTATAATTTTTTTCCGAATGTTTTGACTGACTAAAACCTACTTGAATATTTTAATAAAATTTTGGCATAGTGTATAACAGATAAGGTTTGATGTTAAAAATGACCTTTTATTATTACAAGACATTTACTAGGCAAATGGTTAGAATCATTTTGAGCATTTATTGAGTCAATATTTATCAAACCCTTTACTTGATTGATAGGTAGGTCGAGACGGACTTGCTTTATGGAAACCTAGGTCGTTCAATTTAGTCCTGGGACTTTTCTGTGAGGTCATCTAAAAGAACTCATTTATTCAACAGCTGTAAATACCAAAAAAAAACTTGAGAATGACATAGAACTTTAACCCTTTATGCTTCTGCCCGAATGTGGCTCGGGATTGATTGAAGTAATTCATGTGGTTTTTGCTTTACCTCCCCGAATTAGACTCGGGATTCATTATAAAAGCATGTTTATACACACAGTTTTCTACATTGAAAGTTTTGAAGGTTGTAGTATTTATTCATAGATGGCTCTCGTGATAAAAATACTTCTCAATTTTCACATCAGCATTTTTATACAAGTCATGACATGCACAAACCATTTTCCACAGATTACATTTTTATTTGTGATATACAGGGTGATTCAGAACTAATCCAAAAAAGAGTTTTAGACGTACAGGGGACTTTTACAAATACAATTTTGTATAGAAAAAATCAAAAAGGGCAATTCGAAAATGATTTAAAGATACACTTCTGTAGGGCACTGGAAATTGGTCCGCTGTAAAACCTGACCTTGTACAATGCGACCGGTATGGCGGCAAAGAGTGATAAAAACTTACAAAAACTTTCGCAAGGAAAGAAATAAATTGAATTTTATAGCACCTATTTTATATCCGCATTATCAGCAAATTCAACTGCTTTGTTGTTATTATCAATTAATAAAATTAATTTGTGGTTTTAAATAATAAAATAATTTGACATACCTGATGTAACAACAACTGTTCGAAATTTTATCCACCGACGTATAGACACAAATGTTGTCTTGCTTCACCATAACACAAATGCTTCACCATAATACAGATGTTGTCTTGCTTCACCATAACTCAAAACAATACCCATCAATTCCGAGTTGCTATACACGCAAGCCATTTTCAACACTAACTACTAAAAAACTATTGTAAACACCACCACAGTAAACACTATCGCAACGACGAAGATTGTAAAATCGAATTTTATTATTCGGAGTCGCTGAGGCCACGTGGCTCTCCATGCGTATTGCGAATGACGCTAGAGACTACAGTTGTTCAGCTATGTAATGGTTGAATGTACACAACTTTTTTCTCCGAAACTAAGCATTTTACAAGAATTTCTTTTATTTATTCCCAAATTTTTTTGGATAAGTTGTGAATCACCCTGTATAGGTAAAAACACTTATTTATTATATGCCCAAAATTGTATGTTTTTTTATTTTTGGAGTTCTACGCCACTGAATATAAAAATTAGATAGGAAGGGTGTGAAAATCTACTCCTATGGATAATAGCATTCCATTCTTGTCATAAGAT